TTTTCTATAGCCCTTTATTAACTATTAGAAATGTATTATTATAATTATTATTTTTTATTTGGACTATTTTGCAAATATTACTTTTCACTTTAATTGCTATATTTTATTGAGTCTACAAGAAAGCCTGTATGCAAGTGGTGTAAATATATGTATAAAATTACAAATGCATAATATTACACGTGTTGTGACATTTTTAATTAATTATTAATGTAGCTGATGGATCAGCAGGACTTACATCTATATCGTCTTGGCTCAGTTTTTTCTCGGATATACATCCGGAAATACCGTCCGTGCGTAAATATGTGCATCTAATTCAAATTTACATATGCACTAAATTATCATGTCTCTATTCACAATACAGCAGAATGGATTCACTTACTACTTTTATCCAAACTGTGGCAGAATATCATGAAAATAGCACAGACGTCAGACAATCTAAAGTGTGCTGTACAGAGATAATCATGAAATCGTGCACATACACACCTCAGAACCACAGACCAAAAAACTCAAATCAGCTGCAGAAAACAATCCTTTACATTTAACTAGTGAAGCTGCAAACATCAGCTCAGTGGGCACTAATGACCCTCCTTCAAACTGTTCTTTAGATTTGATTCAAAGAGTGTATGCATAAAGATTTAGATACATATAAAACATAAAGTTTATATATTCTGCATAATACAGTGTCATGTGGATGCATTTCCCTGTGTGGTTGGCCAATAAACAGCATATTTTAAGGGTTAAATTGTAGATCTATGACTTTTTTTCTATGCTTGCAATGATCAGGATCGTTTATTTATTCTATAAATAGTAGCCATCCTTAACCCAACTGGACATTTACAATAGATAACTAAAACGACAACATATTCTTACATACAAACACAGTTTTATTACGTCATTCACACACAAACACACACAGGTAAATGTAAACCACTCAGATTAAAAACTCACTTTGCAAAAATGATGCAGAAAAATGCAGAAAGTAAAAAGAAGATTTTATTTAAAATAATATTTAAAAAATCCAACTTCACATGTACAACTTCATGAAACAGTTTATTTGTTGATTTGCCGTACAGCTGATTAGTAAAGATCCTCCCCGTGTTTTCACATCCCAACTAAATCCCTGAATAAACAATAAAAACAGAAGTATGTTGGAAAATAAAAGTAATAAACATTTTACAATTTAAAACTGTGAAAAAAGGAAATTCTTTCCTACATTAGAGCCATATTTATATCAAACAGGCACTCAGAGAAAAACATAAAGTGACATTTTTTCCATCATAGAAACAGAAACAAGAACAATTTCATTACAAGGAAGAAAATCAGCTACCGCACATTTAATGTACCCGACTTGTATTTTAAAGTGCTCAGAGTGGTCAGTAAGACCAGAAAAGTTTTGCTTAATGCAATTACAGTACACAAGGAAACTATTATTATTATTACAGCAGATCTAATGGACTCAGCTGGACATTTAAAACCCACAGGTAAAAAAAAATGCAGCATTTTCTATACAAATCTAAATATAATTCCTTTGGTTACATTAAGCACCTTGTTTTTTCACACATTCGATCACACAAGTACCTGAATTTAATATTTTACATCAGTTTTCTAAGAGGAGAACTGATTTCAGAATTTGAGGCATCTTGTATATTTAAGAAGTTCACTTATGTGACTACACCAGGGGTGTCAAAGATAAGGTCCGGGGGCTAGAATCAGACTGGCACAGACTCCATTTGGCCCGCTGAGCAGCTTTGAAAAATGTGAAGGTGCGCATAAATTGTGGACTTTTAACTGCATTTTCACAACTTTTACTACTAGTAAAGACCTCCCCGATGGCCATTCAACTTTCTGTTAAAAAATTACCTGACAGTCTGGCCAATGAGCATCCAGAACCTTTTCTATTATTTACATACTGTTGAAATTGGTCTTCTTTTTCTTATATTAGGAGATCTCAGGAATTAAATGTGCAGTTAAAATTCTTTACAGCGAAAGAAAAGGGGGTTTCACTGGCCAGGCCCACGATGTAAATGAGTTTGACGTCTCTATGCAGCTCTAGATTTTGGCCACACTGTGCATGCGTCGTGGCCTGGTTAAAGCCAGATGTCTATGACTGTGTCAGTTTTACCGTCATTTCAATGATATATCAATAAGGTAGCTCAGAAAAGAAAGGGTGGTAGTTTTTTCAGCATCTCTTGCTTCATCATTCCTGTGTGAGGTCAGGAGTCTGTCAGAATATTGTGGCTCTGCAGCTATTTACCAAAACACACATAAGACTTGTGACATAAATCAGCTTTGGAAAATGTAAAGGATAGAAAACTTTTTTTAAAAAAGATCTTTAATCAAAAATAGCGTGACATTCATTGTGCAGATCCTTGTCTCTCCATTTTTCTGACATCATAAAATTTGTTTTAAAGTCTCTTTGCGTTCCTGAGAAATTCGATGGATTAAAAACCCCTCTTAGTTTTCTTGCAGTGTTTCAATCTGAGAAAGAAAACAGGTGTAAATATTGTTAGACAGTTCACACTGTTCTGCATAAGACAACAAATGAACAGACGTAAACCCGGCTTCTCATCCACAACTTTGTCTCTGCGTGTTGGGGTGATATAGTTTAAATGGATGCTTCTTCTGCCACCCGAAGCATCTTGATTTTGATCATCGCAGCGTGCTGCCATGTATCAAGCGTAATTTTCTTCTCTTACTAATTTTTGCACAGTGCATCTTACATGAAAAGTCGCACGATCATCCTCAGTTAACAGAAGAGAGCAACATTTATGTTTATTTCGAGGGTTCTCTTGCAAACGCTGCCTGCTTACCTCTGCTCTTTGATTACATTTAAACACAGTAATTACAACAACAGGTCACAGGCCATTTTAACTTCACACTGAACTTTAAATACTCGAAGTGCGCTCTCTGATTTCACTGGAACATTTTAAAAGGTTATATTTATTTCTGTGCAAATAGCCATGTACGTGCTTTTCTTATCTAAGTGCAAGGACACATTAGATGTACTTCATGAACTTTTGGATGTTTAAGTAAAGGATTTAATAATATTTTCTGACATTTTCTACCTACCTTCTCGTCTGCTTTAATGGCCACTATACAGGTGGATCTTGGCGAACGAGACAGTCTCGAAATACTGATTGTGGCCTTTCTCGTAGATGACAAAGATGTACTTGCGGTCCTCTGCAGAACCGCTGTCCAGTGAAGTGATGCAGGAATAGCCGCTCGGTCCCGCCCATATCTGCATGGCTTCCTTCTCCCAAGATTTGCCGTTTGTCAGCGACCATTTCAAGGTTAGGTTCACTCCTGAGGGAGATTATGAGGTTATTTACTCGATCACCCAACTTTATAACATAAATCTCAAAGAGAGTTTTCAGTTCAATTAAAAAAAGCATTAAGGGAATCCTCGATCATCGTATCTCAATCTCTCCACTTAGAGAGCATAAACCATCGTGAATCTGTTTCGGCTGCTTTGGTGCAAATTAAAGTGACAACATGAGAGGCAACGAGGAGACAAACTACCAAAAAAGGGAGTACTTTTGCAAAGACCATTGCTCTCGCCTTATCCATCCTTTCTGATTTTTCTGTAGTGTTGCTCTGTGTTAGTGTCCTTCTCACTATTGGTACTCTGGTTGCACAGATAGTTCAGTGACACATCCATATGTGCCACAAGAAGGTTTGCTGTGCCACCCAGTACAGTCTCAAGAGTGTGGAGGAGATACCAGGAGACAGGGGAGGTTACATGAGGGGCTAGGCAGGGACGTAGTCTCTGCTCCTTTGTGCAACTGCCAGAGCACTACAAAATGAGTCTACTGACATTCTTCAAGATTGTGCTCCATTAGTGTTTTTGAACAGTGTATGTTCACTGGAAGAGGACTTATCCTCATTATCGGCTCCATATTTTGATTATTAAACTCTGGAAGAGAATTACTCATCAAAACAATCGTTCTTTATTTTATTTGGGCCTTTGCGCAGCCCTTCAGTTCATCTACTATTAGAAACAAGACATTTTACCTCCCTTTCTGTCCTTTGAGCTAACTTGAGCTAACTGCTCTCTTTGACATCATACAGAGACAAGAGTATAAAAAAACTGTGTGAAAGCTGAACATTTTGTATGAGGAGAAATCAGTGTAACTATATCTTTACTTAAAATAAACAAAAGTACTGCATACAAAACTAGAAACTGTGCTTCTACAGAATTAAAGTGCTTTGTTTACTAGAGTTTAGCGCTTCTCACTCTTTTCCTCGTTGCAGGGGTTGGTGAAGTAGATCACGCCCTCTTTTTGCAGAGTTCCAGCTGCCACTACAGGATCCACCAGTGCCTCGTCAAAGATCAGGCCCTCCAAGGGCAGGGTCAACCCTCCATCATAGCTGTGCACCACAATGCGACACCGACAGTGGTATCTGTTCTGGTTCCGCACGTTGATGGCGATGGTGCCGTCAGTCAACTCAATGGGCTGGAGAAGAAGAGACGGAGAGAAAAGACTAAAACTGAAACGAGTAAAAAGAAGCTGTTAATGCTTGTGTGTGTCACTGCACAGACCTAGCTTTAGTGATATCACATTTTATGAACTTCTCTTTTACTATGATGCCAGTTCATAGAATCTACAGAAGGAACTGAAACTGGCAAAGCAGGTAACTATGTGGAAGTTTCATCCAGTTTTATAGGAATGTGAAAATACTGCTTTGGTAAATGTGATTTCTCTTAAAGTCACACTGAAATCAATTTAAAACTTAACCTTTTTTTATTCTTTATATGTTCTTTTACATCATCATAGTGTTTACTTGTTTGTGCTGTGTGGTAGCTGTGTGTCTGTTGGATCATTGTCAAAAAAAGACATTTTTAATCCCAGTGACACATTTTCCTGGATACCTCTTACCTGGCACTCATCAGGGTTAAAGTCTTGTGGTTTCTTCTTGTGGTTGTAGGGGATACTTTTCAGCGCCGCACCGTTGTACCAGGTTTCCCCGTGGTCGTCGCTCAGGATGCAGAAAACACCGTCGCCGTTCAGCGTCCCGTGACCGCAAACCACCAACCTCCCCTTTGCGGGATTGAAGCGTTTCTGTAGTCCAGAGCAGACAAAACAGGAAGAAAGATGGTGATCGGAGTCAGCATCGTGACCTCAGTTATAATTCTTATCAGTGCATAGTATTACATCTGAGTAGATCACTAAACACCTAAAGGTTTCTATTTAAAAAGCAAACCTTTTGGGTTTACCGAGGCTTTAAACTGAAAAGTAATGACTGAATGAATCTTGTTGTTTTTGTGCTCTCCTGCAACCTCAAGTATTTGTTCCTTGTTTAGGTTCTTGTTTCAGTTTTTAAGTCTTTTTTTATTATGCTTTAACTGTGAAAATTGTTTAAAGTCATCAAAATCTTTTCCAAATCTATCTGCTTTAGAGATACAGGTCACTTACATTTTAAATAGAGCAAAAAAGCAGTAAGCCAAGAAGTAGATTTTTTTTATTCCCTCTGAATTGGAGCAATAAAAACACTCGAGTTCAAACTGGGTGCTGGTACAGCAGGTAAACCATATGCGATAAGGTTATTCCTTAGGCCCAGGTTTGAATTTTTCCCATAGCTTTGCTGGTTTCTTTCTTCTGTCCTTTCTAGAATAAAAACTAACAAGCCACAAACTATATCTTAAAACGTATAAACGCCAAATATAGTTGTTGTTTTTTTACATTAACAGCAGTAACACCTGTTGATCACCTGTGAACTATTAAATCTTTACCAGAAAAGTATTTTTTTTTTAAAGAAAAAATATTAGTTTGGATATATGAGTTTAAATTTGCATCATTCTTGTCATGGCTAACCATGTGGGGAAATAAATGAGGACCCAAGAGCAGGCACTTGCTGAGATACGAAGGAGGTTTATTGCAAAATAAAACACAAGGAGAGAATGGCAAAACGGAACAAAAGATAATCTAAACTGGGAGGAATAAACTTTACACAGACGTAAAGCTGAAAACACTCATATGAGACAGAGACCTTCAGAATAAAGGAGGAAACTCACACATTCGAAGACACAGACCAAGAAACATGGACTTTACACAGAGGGAACACACGGGCAGAGAAAACTAAACACAGAACAGAGGGGGCACAGAGAAACATGAGGGGCAAGGGATCAAAACCTAGGAACCATGGAAATAAATCACTAATGAACTCGACATAATACAAAAATCTCAGAGAACTGAAAACGCTGGGTCAAAATGAACCAGAACCGTGACAATTCTTGCAACATCAGGCATTTTTGTGTACCGGTAACTGATTCTGCATTTTCAGGAAAAACTAATCTGTCTATGACAATGTTGAGGTCACAGAAACTGAGAATAGCTTGTATGGAATATGATACACATGGCATCACGAGGTCAGGCGTGCACATGGTCGGTGAGTTTCAGCTTGTGACGCCGAGGCTGAATACATGTCGGCACTTTTACATGGTGGATCATTTGACCTCAACAAGAAAAGACGAATAACGCGCCTGAGAGAGGCTGTGATATGGCATCAAAAACAAAACCAGGCAGCTCAGTTTATAACACTAAGTTCATTTGTAATGAACTGGTTCTCCATGAGGGATTTAAACCCTGTTGTGCCAAACTGTTGCACTTTCAGGTGCTATACTGACCCTTTTCTGTCTGAGCTTGAAGCTATGAGGATCTCTGCTCTCACTTCTTTAATTTGGACAGGATAAAAAAAAGAGACAGGAATCGAGAACCAGCTCCAAACTGTTCCATCACTTAACCTCCAGGCTCATCAGTTCCTTTTGTTAAAGCTAGCTGCTAAATTCACAGCAATGCAGCTTTTTGTACACATGAAAGTGTTTCTACACAGAGATAATAAAGCAGTGCAGGACAGCTCTCCTTCTACACAGAAAACTGATCAAGATTAACGATCTGATCCATCAGCAGATTCAATAAGGGCCTTTGTGCTTCTAATGCACAAAAAACACTCTTTTCACTGACAATAAAAGATTCATACTGCCAAACCAGTGCACTAAGTTTGCACACATGTGCAAAATTATGCATAATTACAGAGGTGGAAAGCCATGCAGTAAAATCTTACTTTATGACTTTCATGGGAATACTGAGCTGTCAGGATTCACATGATCTAAATAAAAATGAATTTGGCTTAAAGGTCATTGAAATCATTTTACATCTTGAGAAGTTCTCTCACTTCAGTGTCACATGACTCTCTCTCACCTGGAGGCCGAGGCCCGGCCCGGGAATGAAGTTCTTCACCCCGAGCGTAACTGAGAGGTTTCTGGGCGGGGTCCAGCTGAGGCCGTCGTCCCGGCTCTCCACCATCATGATGCTGGGTGGGCTGCAGTGGTCGAGGTAGAAGCACACGTCGTAGATCAGAATCACTGAGCCCACTTCCTCGTCCACCACAACGGAGCCTAAGTTTAGGCCGTCCGGCTTCATCCCGTCGTCGACGATGAAGCTGGTCGGGGACCAGGTGGCTCCTGGAAGATGATAAATTGTTCAATTTGACGTTTTATGATTTAACTTTCTACTCACGGAACAGTTGTGTTATAACTCTGAATTTTTTTTGTCTATGTTTTCCATTAATTTTGTGCATTTTCTCCTTTTAAAACCAAGATTTCAGTTTTATGTTTGGGGCTCAATCACGAGAATTTATGCAATCAAGCTGTTGTATTGCTGTTTTTTTTTTTACAAACCAGGGCTAAAACTGTGACATGTGTGACATAATTTTGAAAATATTTGTAAAACCAAATATCTGCTGCAAAAACTGACTGACGCTAATGATAATGGCACATGTCTCTTAACTGAACTGGTCTCCACAGAGAGGGCAAACATCAGAGACAGGTGTGTGAGTCTCTGCATCGCGCTGCACCGTAATTGTTTTAATCGCACATGAGGTTAACACAGGGACAGTTTTCAGAGTTTTCAGGGGGATGGACAAATGGATCATGACTGTGCTGCTCTTCTACAAATCCTTCTTAACGTTTTAAGCTATCGTGTCTACAGACAGAGCGATGATGCTACCAAAAACACAACCTCTTGAGCAGAGGTAAAAAATAAATGCTGTCATGGCTCACGACAGGTATTAGCTGATTGCTCATTTCCAGTGTATTGTATTTGATACCTCTTTTATGTTAGTTTTTGAGACTTCTACATCATCAGTGTGATTTTTCCCCCCAGAAAAAAAACCTAAACAATTTGCACAAACGTTACAGATGTAGCAAAAATGATGCAAAAGTGTTTTAACACCTTTATCTGTTTATTTATTTATTATTTTTTGCATTTGGCTTTGACGTCTGCCTTTCTTCCCAGCTCTTCCACTTCCCAGTCTTGTTTAAAAGTGAAGTTTTGCATGTTTTGACCCTCTGTGTTGCTCTGACTTGTGATCAAATGCACGTATACAGGCTGTTAGTTTGACTCAGCTGAGTCTTGCCTTTGTCTGTGGAGCGCCGCATTGCAATGAACTTCGCTCCACGGTCAGCAGAAGAAGTCTTCCTGGCTTCTGAAAACGCCAGCAGGCTTCCTTTGGGGGTGAAGGTGAGCAGCGGGATCCTGTAGGTATTCACCTGGCCCTGGGACCCACTCACCCACAGGAGCTGCTCCTCAAACACCAGGGGATCAATCTGAACAGCAGGGAGGAGGGCAGATAAAAAGAGTCAGGGATGACTGAGAAGTATCTACAGGCAAAACCAGTTTGGCCAAGAGCATCTTCAGCATACTTTAGGTGTCATGTAACACACAAACATGTGATCGTGCTTCGAGTTTTGGAAATTATTTTATTTTATTCAACTGCAACATTTACCTAAAAATTATTTATACCTTAGAAATCCCCAAATCATGCAAGTTCTAGAGAAAAAGAAACAAAAAGCCTAACATTTAACCTTTAATGAATCGATTTCACTCTAACCAACCTTAGCTATCCCTGGGGCAGGGATAGCTCAGTAGGTAGAGTGGCGGCCCCATGATCGGAAGATCGGGGGTTCGATTCCCCTGAACAGCTACCCTGAGGTACCCCTGAGCAAGGTACCGTCCCTACACACTGCTCCCCGGGCGCCCAATGGCTGCCCACTGCTTCACTGAGTGAATGGGTTAAATGCAGAGAACGATTTTCCCCACGGGGACCAATAAAGTACACTTTCTTCTTCTTTCTTCTAACACGTCACCAGCTCCACCGCACACACTGCAGGGCTTCAGCATGCTGCTATAACCCGGTAATAAGCAGGTAATAACAGGCACTGTACCTGGGAAGGGTTGACGGTGAGGACACACGAAGAAGCCAAAGCAGAGAGTAGTAACCACAGTGCAGAGAGCCGCCATGCTGCCATGTTTGACTTCCTTCTCGGATTTCTTCTTCTTCAGAACAGAAACACACAGCAAAGATCGCGCGAAAGCCTCTCTTTTATCTTGCCTTACTTCTTTAACCAACACATCTTCCCAATAAGTCATATGACAAAGACGGTCACATGACTAAAGCACCTATCAAAATAAAAGAGGAAACTTTACTTGATTTAATTTTTAATCCTAACGACTGATTATAGAATATCGTTATTTACATTACATAAGCAAATAATGCAGTTACTTTTATCATGTCTTTTTAAAAAAAAAGGTAATACGTATTCAAGGTTGTATTGTGCATGTTGTACAGTTTTACACATCCTTGCACATCCTTCCTTAATAATTAAAGGAAGAGTTTCATAATTAAACTAATATTATAGATGTTTTACAGAGAAGCAGGGAAGTGCAAATCACATGTACAACATCAACAACAAAATAACGTTTCCGAAAGCACTTTTACATAAAAAAAATAAACAAACAAATAAAAGAATTGACAACAAACTAACATTTAGGAAAACACTTTAACAAGTCCGCAACAAATTAACAAGTGGCTCTTGACGGAAATGGATTGTCTGAAATACCGGAAGTGACTCAACGATTAGGCTTACTACATTATTTGTAGTACAGAAAAGTGATTTGTAGTCAGCTAAACAAGGGCTTTTCACAGAAGTAGTGTTCAGTTAATGTTTGAAGAGATTTTACAAAAGAGTATGGGTGAGATAATGAAGTTCAGATTTTTAAATGCCACGGGGATTTTCTTAAGAAAATATCCAGGCCTTAAAACCGTCATGGTCCACACTCCAGCCCAGCAGGTGGCAGTAAAGCGCCTTTAAGTTGACGGCAGAAGAAGAAGCAGCAGCTAAACACGGGATTTCAACAAACGGACTTGTTGCGGACTTGTTAATTTGTTGCGGACTTATTAAAGTGTTTTCTTAAATGTTATTTTGTTGTAATTTTTTTGTTTTTGTTTTTTACGTAAAAGTGTTTTTGGAAATGTTATTTTGTTGTTGATGTTGTAAATGTGATTTGCACTTCCCAGCCACCGTTCTATACAGTATTAAACATATTTTTGTTTGTTTGTTTTTATTTTTGGAATAAATGTCATTGGTGTGTAAATTTTGAGCATGTAATTCTAATTTTCTTCGATTTCAGATGTCCATTCAAAAGATAAGAACATGGAAAAGGTTTCATGCACTTACCATTTTTATACACATGGGGGCAGAAACAGCACGGACGCCTGTCATGTACACACACACACACACACACACACACACACACACACACACACACACACACACACACACACACACACACACACACACACGACCAAAAAACAAAACAAAAGCAAAGTTAGAGCAGAAAATGATTTTTGTGCTATTTACTGAAGCTCCAAACCTCAACTCAACTTAGTAGGAAGCTGCATGCAGAAATCCAGTTTTCAGAGAAAAAAGTTTAAACTTTAAACCTTTACAGTGAGGAAGGACTCTTATTGGTGCGATATAACCTTTTCTTGAAAAGATACAAAACATTTTCAAAAACTGTGTGTGCCTAGAGGTGTTTTTCAGTAGGAGGGGCGGAGGGAAATCTGGTGGTTAAGATATAAATCAGTAAACTAGCATACTCACTTAAGTGTCAGTGCACATTATACATCTCTCTTTATATTCTATCATATTCTGCAGCAGAGCAGCTGCTGATTGCACTTTTAATTATTAAAACTGCCAAAAACATGAATGCCATGACACTCCTGTGTGGATGTGGAAGGTGCTGTTTGTCTTTTAAGGGAGCTGGTGCCACATTTAAAGGTAAAATGTGAAAAAATTACTAATACACAGGGTGCTGTGGCTGTAGATGTCTGATTTATTGTCCAGATTTTTATGTCTTTTGGGACTGTGTTAAGATCTGACCTTTCTCTGTTCTGTGTGATTTAGCACGCCTTGGTCTGGGGATATTATATTTAGATCTTCACACGTGTGAATCCATATTGACCCACAGTGGGGTCCTTGGACCTTATGAGTTAATGTGTAACAGTCGTTCTGAAGTTTTAGCTTCTTGCAACTACGGATACTGGATGCCTGTGCTGGCATTTCTCCTGCGGTGTTGCTATCAGTGTGTGAAGAGTGGGAGAAGAGGGCAGCACATTGAACACATTTTATAAGTGGTCAGAAACGTGTAAATAACTCATGAAAGAATAAAGTTATGTTGAAACCAAGCACACCATTGTTTTTCTTGTGACATTACCAATAAGTTTGATGTGTCACATGGCCCTCTTCCAAACAAAAGTTGTATCCAAGATGGCTGACTTCAAAATGGCCACTATGGTCACCACCCATCTTGAGGAGTTTGCCTCCTCACATATACTAATGTTTCACAAACAGGACTTTAATATCACCAACCATTCCCATTTTATTATAGTGTATCCATATAAATGGCCCACCCTGT